CGTCGCCCAAAAAATTACGTAAATGCCATCTGTAAATAAATTGGACCAAATTGGTGCTTAATGGACTTATCGTCCGTGGAGAATAGTATCAATAGACTTCATTATCGGTGGAGAATAGCCTAAACCTGACTACTGCCTCCAGAAATGAAAGAAAATGGCATTTCGGAAAAATCACCGGAAATCTGTGATGGTACACATTTGGAATCTACCAAAAATTGACCCGGAATAAATCTGCCCAAATCGGTGCTTAATGGACTAAATAATCGATGAAGAATATCCTTAGGGCGAATCCGTGATCTGTAGCATTCAAAATCCAATGAAAATGGCCTTTCGTCGCCCAAAAAATAACCAAAATGCCATCCGAAAATAAATTGGTGTGTAATGGACTTAATCATCGTTGAAGAATAGCCTCTAGCCGAATCTGTGATCTTTAGCCTTCAAAATCTGAAGAAAATGGCTTTTCGTCGCCCAAAATTTACGAAAATGTCATCCGGATATAAATTGGCCCAAATCGGTACTTAATGGACTTATCATCCGGGGAGAATAGGATAAATAGACTTCATTGTCGGTGGAGAATAGCCTCAGCCTGATTCCGTGATCTGCAGCCTCCAGAATCTAAAGAAAATGGCATTTCAGAAAAATCACCAGAAATTTGTGATGGTACCCCTTTGGAATCTACCAAAAATTGACCCAGATTAAATCCTTCCAAATCGGTGCTTAATGGACTTAATCATCGTTGAAGAATATCCTCAGGCCAAATCCGTGATCTGTAGCCTTCAAAATCAAAAGAAAATGGCCTTTCGTCGCCCAAAAAACTACGAAAATGCCATCCGAAAATAAATTGGTGCTTAATGGACTTAATCATCGTTGAAGAATAGCCTCAGGCCGAATCCGTGATATGTAGCCTTCAAATCCAAAGAAAATGGCCTTTCGTCGCACAAAAAAATGTCATCCGGAAATAAATTGGCCAAAATCGGTGCTTAATGGACTTATCATCCATAGAGAATAGGATCAATAGAATTCATTATAAATGGAGAATAGCCTCGGCCTGATTCGGTTATCTGCAACCTCCAGAATTGAAAATGGCCTTTCGTCCCCCAAAAAATTACGAAAATGCCATCCGAAAATAAATTGGCCCAAATCGGAGATTAATGGACTTATCATCCGTGGAGAATAGCCTCAGCCTGATTCCGTGATCTGCAACCTCCACAATCGAAAGAAAATGGCATTTCGGAAAAATCACCCGAAATCTATGATGGTACCCCTTTGGAATCTACCAAAAATTGAACCAGAATAAATTCACCCAAATCTGTGCTTAATGGACTTAATCATCGTTGAAGAATAGCCTCACGCCGAATCCGTTATCTGAAGCATTCAAAATCCAAAGAATATGGCCATTCGTCGCCCAAACAATTACGAAATTTTCATCCGAAAATAAATTGGCCCAGATCGGTGCTTAATGGACTAATCATCTGTGGAGGATAGTCTCGGCCTGATTCCGTGATCTGCAGCCTCCAGAATCGAAAGAAAATGGCATTTCGGAAAAATTGCCCGAAATCTGTGATGGTACCCCTTTGGAAACTGCCAAAAATGGGCCCGGAATAAATTCGCCCAAATCGGCACTTAATGGACTTAATCATCGTTGAAAAATAGCCTCAGGCCGAATCCGTGATTTGTAGCCATCAAAATCCAAAGAAAATGGCCTTTTGTCGCCCAAAAAATTACCAAAATGCCATCCGAAAATAAATTGGCCCAAATCGGTGCTTAATGGACTAATCATCCGTGGAGAACAGTCTCGGCCTGATTTCGTGATCTGCAGCCTCCAGAATCGAATGAAAATGGAATTTCAGAAAAATCGCCTAAAATCTGTGATGATACCCCTTTGGAATTTGCCAAAAATTGACCCAGAATAAATCCGCCCAAATCGATTCTCAATAGACTTAATCATCGTTGAAGAATATTCTCAGCCTCAGGCCGAATCCGTGATTTGAAGCCTTCAAAAACCAATGAAAATGGCCTTTTGTCGCCCAAAAAATTATGAAAATGTCATCCAAAAATAAATTGCCCAAATCAGTGCTTAATGGACTAATCATCCGTGGAGAGTAGTCTCGACCTGATTTCGTGATGTACACCATCCAGAATCAAAACAAAATGGCATTTCGGTAAAATTGCCCGAAATCTATGATGGTACTAAATCATCGTTGAAAAATAGCCTCAGGCCGAATCCGTGATTTGTAGCCATCAAAATCCAAAGAAAATGGCCTTTTGTCGCCCAAAAAATTACCAAAATGCCATCCGAAAATAAATTGGCCCAAATCGGTGCTTAATGGACTAATCATCCGTGGAGAATAGTCTCGACCTGATTTCGTGATCTGCAGCATCCAGAATCGAAAGAAAATGGCATTTCGGTAAAATTGCCCGAAATCTATGATGGTACTAAATCATCGTTGAAAAATAGCCTCAGGCCGAATCCGTGATTTGTAGCCATCAAAATCCAAAGAAAAATGGCCTTTTGTCGCCCAAAAAATTACCAAAATGCCATCTGAAAATAAATTGGCCCAAATCGGTGCTTAATGGACTTATCATCCGTGGAGAATAAAATCAATAGACTTCATTATCGGTGGAGAAAAGCCTCGGCCTGATTCCGAGATCTGCAACCTCCAGAATCGAATGAAAATGGCATTTCGGAAAAATTGCCTGAAATCTGTGATGGTACCCCTTTGGAATCTGGCAAAAATGGACCCGGAATAAATTTGCCCAAATTGGCACTTAATGGCACTTAATGGACTTAATCATCGTTGAAGAATAGCCTCAGGCCGAATCCGTGATCTGCAGCATTCAAAATCAAAAGAAAATGGCCTTTCGTCACCAAAAAAATTACAAAAATGCCATCCGACAATAAATTGGCCCAAATCGGTGCTTAATGGACTTATCATCCGTGGAGAATAGGATTAATAGACTTCATTATCGGTGGAGAATAGCCTCGGCCTGTTCCGTGATCAGCAGCCGCCAAAATCGAAAGAAAATGGCATTTCGGAAAAATTGCCCGAAATATGTGATGGTACCCCTTTGGAATCTGCCAAAAGGTGACCCAAAATAAATCCACCCAAATCGGTGCTTATTGGACTTAATCATCGTTGAAGAATAGCCTCATGCCAAATTTGTGATATGTAGCCTTCAAAATCCAAAGAAAATGCCCTTTCCTCGCACAATAAATTACGAAACTGTCATCCGAAAATAAATTGGCCAAAATCGGTGCTTAATGGACTTATCATCCGTGGAGAATAGGATCAATAGAATTCATTATCAATGGAGAATAGCATCGGCCTGATTCCGTGATCTGCAACCTCCATAATTGAAAGAAAATAGCATTTCGGAAAAATCTCCCGAAATCTGTGATGGTACCCCTTTGGAATTTGCCAAAAATGGACCAGGAAGAAATTTGCCCAAATCCGTGCTTAATGGACTTACTCGTCGTTGAAAAATAGACTCAGGCCGAATCTGTGATCTGTAGCCTTCAAAATCCATGGAAAATGGTATTTCGGAAAAAAATCGCCCAAAGAATTACGAAAATGCTATCCCAAAATAAAGCATCCCAATTCTATGCCTACTGGACTTAATCATTGGTGGAGAATAGTCTCGGGCTGAATCTGTGATCTTTAGCCTCCAAAATAGAAAGAAAATAGCATTTCGAAAAAATCGCACGAAATCCGTGATGGTACCCCTTTGGAATCTGCCAAAAATGGACCCAGATGAAATCCTCCCAAATTCATGCTTATTGGACTTACTCGTCATAGAAGAATAGCCTCAGGCGAAACCGGTGATCTGTTAGCCTTCAAAATCCATGGAAAATGGCCTTTCGAGAAAAAAAATCGCCCAAAGAATTAAGAAAATGTCATCCCAAAATAAATCAGCCCAGTTCTATGCCTAATGAACTTAACCATTGGTGGAGAATAGGATCAATAGACTTCATTATCGGTGGAGAATAGCCTCAGGATAAATCCGTGATCTGTAGCCTCCAAACTCGAAATAAAATAACATTTCAAAAAATCGTCTGAAATCTGTGATGGTACCCCTTTGAAAACGTTCGTTGTATTGGGGCTTGAAATTAGTAAAGCATCCTTGAATCTGATTCAAGGGGGAAAACTTTCGATTTTAACTATTAATAATGAAATTAATTATTTCCTATAATCTCATTGACGTTATAGGGTTAAGGACCGGACCCAACTTGTTTAGTGTTAGCACCTCTATCTCCTACCTTCATTCTGAGTCGAAAAAGAAAGATATATGGCTGTAATAGGAAGTCTGTATAGTTTGAGGACTAAAAGAAGCAATTACTTGGGCACCGGGCCGCGTCGTTCACGGGCTAGCATGACACGACACGGTTAGAGCACGGGCACGAAATAAATAGGCCAGTTTGGCACGAGCACGAATGGGCACGGGCACGACACGATATATAAGTGGGCCGTGTCGGGTCTAATATTTTCGAGACTTTATTGAGTATAAGAACGGACATGGCACGAAAATAATATTTATTTGATAGAAAATAAATATAAAAAAATTATAGATTCAAATATTACAAAACACAAGTAGAAAAATAATTATTTGTTGTTGTTAGAAGTGTCATAAAGATATATACGTAATTACTTACATAAGTAAAAATGAACAAAGAATTAAACAAAGCCAAATCACACTCGCTATACTTCCAATTTTCTTTTCCCCCTTATTTGTTACTTTTCTCAAACATTATCGGTTAATACTATTTGCCTTCGTCCAATTTTCACCTTCTTTTTCATTCTCTCTTTTGTTTTCGACTTTTCATTAAACACGAATACGAGCATGACATGAGCACGAATAGGCACGACACGATTCGAACCGTGTCCGGTGGACCGGGCCTAACAAAATTAATAAATAAGCTTGCATGACACGACACGAAAACTAACAGACTATGCTAAGCCCAACACGAAATAAATGGGCCGGAAGCGTGCCCGTTGCATGCCGTCCCAAGCACGACTTACTCCAAACCCAAAGTTATGGCCGTATCGAAAGACAAGAGTGTACCCCCTCCGGTGTATCGAAATCGAATCGCCGGCTGTAATTTCTGTCCGTCGAACCAGAAAAGGAAGCGGGAAAGAGACAGATAGAAAGAAGGCTTCGACGGCGCCTGTCATCTTCTCCCTCATTAGTGTTCATTGAAGGGGCTGTCTTTTTAGTTTTTTCCCTATCCCGCCGTTGAAGAAGTAAGTTTGTCGTTTTTCGCGCCAAGATTGGGTTGAGAAAGGGAAAGCAAACGAGGGTGGTAGATAGTTCATTAATTCACATGACAGTGGGGGCGCCGATATGCATAAGCATCTTTTTGTCTGTTCCTATTGTTGATTCACAAGCTTCTTTTGATTTCAAATTTTTGTTATATATTCGGAATTAAGAGCCGAGCTCTGCTGTGTTTAAGATGATAGATTTTTGTGAACCCAGATGCATACATTTCAAGTTTCGATTGTGGACATGTGCCGTGAGCTGATGAATCCCTGTTCATTGCTTCGTTGAGTTGTTGCTTGCCAAACCTTGATGAATTGGAAGTTTGATAGTAAAGATGGATTCGTTGTGTGATTTTGGCGCACTATCATTTTCTTTACAGGTTTTTGTTCAGTAGTTCTGGTGTTACTTTCACATCCCATGATGCGAGGTCTGCTAAAACTATACAATAGCCCTCATAGCTGCAAGAGACCCTCACAAGCTCTCTTCTTTGTTACTCGTGCTTCCTTTAGTTCCTCGGCTTCTTTGCATTCAGTGTTGAATGTATTGTCCTCGCCCAAGTGTGACGGCGCCACCACCATTGAGAATATTGGATTCCAGCATCCATGGTCCTTAATTCAGCACCGGGGTGTTAAAGTGAATGCCATTCATGTAAAAAATTCATTCTTTTTTTCTTTTGCCCTTGTTCCTAGTATCTTTCCTCTCTTGTTGATTTTGCCGCTGAGATTATGCTTTGATTTGCTGGTTCATGCAGTTAAGACCTGGAAATGTCATTGAGAAATCAGGTTATGTTCTGGACCTGTGTATGTGTTTCTCCCTTTGAGGTTTATTTCAGCTAGTCGTTGATGAAACTGCTATTTCTTCCTTTTCCAGGGCGAATTTACCAGGTGTGTTTTAGTTTGGAAATTTTGGTGAAATTTTGATTCTATGAGGATCAAGATTCTAGTTTTGACGGTTTTAATGGTGTATTTAGGTGGTGGAAGTAGAGCATAGGCAGCGAGGAAGAGGAGGTGCTATGATGCAGGTTCTACATCTTCCTATGGCTTTTATGTTTATGCTCACGTTTGTATTCTCATGTCAGAACTTTTCCTTGAATTTGGAACTCTGCTTTCTGTTTTACTCGGGCAAGAAGTTTCAGTCTTTTTCTGTAGTTTCCATGTTCTGGATGTGTTAGAACTTAGAAGTGACTGTTCCTGTTTTTGTAGTTTTTTGTATGGGTTGAGTGAGCTTCTAACTTCTTGGTGATATTTTCATTCGTAGAAATCTCATTCGTATTTATTCTTATGCAGTTTAGCTCATGTAGCTTTATTTTGTTTGTGCTCAATTGTAGATTGAACTTCGTGATGTTGACAGTGGAACAAAGCAAAACTCCAGGTTTGGAACAGAGGAGTCTGTTGAAAGTATGGTCTTACATCTTTTAGTCTTTATCTTTCTTTTGGTGCAATACTGTTCATTTATGGTATGTATTCCGGTTCGTAAACATGCATGATGCTTATCTCCATAAAATTTGTTGTTCCTAGGTAGGAATCATTTAATTTTGGTGGCCCTCAGGTGACTGATTATATATGCCCTTTCATTCATTCTTGCTGGCTTGTAGTTGCTGTCTTGCTGATGATGGTAGTGAATTATTTTCCTATAGGGAGTAAAAGTTGTTTAATCTATTTTGAATATAAGTCTAAGTGTACTAGAAAGCTCTTGAGTCATTGACTTCCATTTTCTTTTTCTAAACAGAGATTTTGCAACAATCTTTGTCCTTTGGGTTTATTTTCAACTTGTTCACCTTGGTTTAGTTTCATTTGTCTTTTAAGTTATTTGAGACGACTCTTGCTTAGCCTTAGCAAGTCAGTAACTTAATGATTAATTCCAATTCCGCTTTTGATAAATCTCAAGAGTTGATTGGCTCCACATCCTCGATTGCAGGAGTATTTGTTCAAGAAAAGTCATTTGCTTGTTTATATACGGAAGACAAAATGGCGTATTTGATGGAGTGAGTTGTATTTCCTATTCCCCTGATTTTTTGAAGTAATTATCCGTATTGGTTTTTATCTCTCTTTGTGATGCTACTCAGTCCGGTGAACTTTGAACAACTGGAAGTGCCGTTGGAGTTATTTGGCAAAGCTGCTGCCTATCTAAAAGGTTAGTTAAATTCGACATGTTGCTATAGCCCTTTGATAAGATATATACCTGGATGTTCTTAAGGTTTTTCTCCATGAGAAGGGTTCTAAGTTCTTGCTTATATTGTTGGCTTAAAGTGTCATGAATTGCTTTGAGTAGCTATTATGCTGTCTAACATAATGCTTTTAAGCAGAGGATTTGAAAGTCAAATTGCAGTTGTACGATGATAGACCTTTATCGGGGTCTGTGCCAAAACAAGTGACATGCTCCATCAAGGAAACACTAGCCAATATGAAGGGGACAACAGTGACACCTCGGTATGTTTTCATATTCCTGCTGCTAGTCAGTGTCTTAGGTACCAGTTTGTGCATATGTATCTGATGCGGGGATTACTGGAGATATCTACAACAGATGTGCTGCAATTACAAGGATAATAGTGAAAATAAAGACATGCTTGTTAAGTTTTTGTCTTGGTACTTGACTATATCACCACCAAAAGTGAAAGAACCTCTCTTCCACCATTAGTTCTAAGGCTACTTTCATGCACGGAACATGTTACTCAACTTTACTTACTATGCTAATTAATGATCTCTTACCAGCTTGATTGTATGCTTAGACCTGATACATTCTTTTGCATGCAGGTATGTAAAGGCTGTACTGGACAATGGTCTCACTGTTCAAGTAAGTACCCTATGGTTTCATATGCTCTTCAATGTTAAACTGTAGAAAAGGAAGTTATTGTTGTTTCATCAGAAGACAGAAGGTGTTTATGCTAAACTGCTTTTAGTTATGAATTTTCTTCTCTGAAATGCCCAGGTACCTTCTTATCTACAGATCGGCGAAAAAATAATTATCAACACCGAGGATGATACATTTGTTAGCAGGTGAATTTCAGCTAAACATTGGATTCTTTGTTCTTTTCTTTTGTTTGGAAGGTGGGGAAGTGCTTGGCTTCTTTGCCAATTTGAAGATCTAATGCCAGTCTTTAATGCCTTTTAGTTGGTGAACCTTTCTATGCTATCGTTCTTGCATGGATGCAGTTAAAATGACGGCTGAATTAGAGGATGATTGTGTTTTTCAGGGCTTAACCAGGGACATCTTGGCAGGCATTTTGCAATTTGGTGGGGTTTTACCCAAGAATAGAGGCAGAAAGGGAGAAGAACAAACTTGGGAATCCTAGGAAGAGCATTGTTGGATAAAGATTTGATATGGTTTTTAAGGATTTGATTTCCTTCTGAATGTCCAAAGCCAATTGACTTGTGATGAAACGAAAAACCCAGCATAATTCAAGGGAAAAGAGGACATTGAAATCAGATGTAATATATCAGATCCCCATCCATGTCTCCTCCAGGAGTAAATTTATGAGCGTCTCAAAGTGCAAAATTTATTTTCTTCCAACATATTTTCAGAGACCAAGAACTCTCTTAGAATCTGAAAGGCGAAAATGGATCAATCTAAAAGGCCAAAATAATGGAAGGCTACAGATACAAAGAACATCCTACATCAGTGCAACGGTAAATATTGTGTGTACCAAAACAATGGCTCCCTTGGCTTGCAAGGCACAAATTAACTCAGCCGAAACTAAACCCCCAACCAACGTCTACAAACCAATGCACCATATCATCCAAAGGTATTTAGTGTGTTATTTTATTAATTTCACTCCCCATCTCTCTTTCCATCACATCTATAATCCAATTTTCTTCTCTGCCTTCTGGATCTGGTTCAGGAATATCCAAGTCATCTGCACAATCCAAATACCAAACAATCAGTACATCTAATCTATGAGAAGTGCTAAGAACCAAACGATAAACAAAAGAGATGTGATGAGATGAGTCATACCATGACATGTGGAGCAATCCTAACACAGTAAACAGGGAATCCAGTGTAGAATTTCAGTGGTCCGCCGGCCTTGAGAGTCTTCATAGCACAGTCGAGGGAACCAGTGTATGGATACTTTCCCTCAGCATCAGGCTGCATCTTCTGAATCTGTGTTTTCACATAGTCAAACGGAAGACTGCAAGCTGAAGCGAAGAACCCGGAAATGGCACTAGCACCTGAGAACACAAAACAAAAACGAATCAAATAGTTGAGACCAATAATTTGAGTTCAATCAGAGGCCAAAGAGATTAAAATGGCATTTATGCGTGTTATGTCCTGGTCAGGAAAACATGATTCACATGCAAATTGAATAAGAAACACCAACTTACATCCATTAATGAGAAATACAAATCAACTTCCTAGAATGAATACGATATAACAAGAAACCTTGGGAAAGCATTAACTGATGCTAGAAACTTACCAACAACCGTAGGGATTTCACCAAAACCAAGGTTATCTCTGAAGAGCTCAAGACTTTGATCATATGAAGCAAGCATTCCCATGTTCAAAGCCATTGCCCTGACAACGGTAGGTCCTGCACCCTTCCAAAGAGCCAAAACACCCTCATCTGCCACAATACGTGAAAGTGCATGGAAGGCATTGGTGTAATGCCGGCGCTGAGCAGCAGGTAAGGTGGCATCTGCCTGCATACGGATGAGTGCTAAATCTGCAGGGCTTCCAAAACATGCTCCAATAGCACCAGCAGTTAATCCACACAATGCCTTCTGATACAGAGGCAGAGGCTTCCCCTCATTCGCCTCGATTGCCTTGTTGGTCAACATCCTGGCAAAAGGATGAACATCATTTAGTACAATATTGCCACATAACAAAATAACTTCAAAGATACCATACATTTCAACCATAAGGCTCTAGACAATTATTCCTTCACCAAAAAAAAAAGTAATGTAATCTATGAAGACAGAAAACAACAGAAAATAATGTTCTTTGAAAGAGAGCATGAGGTGGCATTGTTGACATTACAAAGCACTCACCTGAATGATCCAAGTCGAGCAGTTGTGTAGGTGGCTTGCCTCAGTAGTCCAGCAGACAGACCCTGTCCAATTATCATATAGTTAGAAATCAAGTTGACGATAAAAAATCAAGAATGTAGTTATCAAGTTATGATCTTTAATTGCATTAAGAAGCCAGAAGATAATCGCATCCCTAACCCAAAATTTAATCAGACAGTCTAAAGAGATTAAATCTGTCTGAAGAGAATGTTCACACTCTATCATGACCATTGCTGATCCAAAGTGCCAAGTTCCAGAAAAATCCTACAAGTATCATTTATTGTAATGGAAAGAAGTGACGCATTTCTAATTGTTCAACTTGTACAACAAGATCAATAAAAACTTCTGAAGAAGAAAGATCCGAAATTTGGCTGGATTTACACTGCTCCTACAAGCTCTGGAACAGAACTAACCCAGGCACTATAAAGGAATAGTAGCAAACTACCAATTACTCAAAAAATAAGAAAGTGACAACCTTTAACTGCACTAAGAAGCAGAAGGATAATCATATGATATTGCTAAACCCAAGTGAATTATGAAGATAGTGTTAAGACACTGAAGCCTGATAAATACTCCAGAACAAGCTAGCAAGAATCATTCATTACAGATGGTAAGAAGTGACAAAACATACAATCGTTCTGCTTACAACTAAAGCACAAAACTGCTGAAGAGCAAAGATCTAACAATTGGCAAAAGCTGGGATCTCAGAGCTCCAGAATGAGAATCTAGAGCAGATAAATTCAGCACTAAATCATCAAACTTCGACTTAAAGTGTTAACAACGAAGAGACAAACCTTGTAAAAGGCCCTAACACCTTCCTCCTTCAGCATGGTCGAGGCAACAGAGGATGCTGATCCCTGACCCAATTGGATCCTCACCTACATAACACAAACAAGCACCAACAAGGCATCAAAACCATAAGCCACACCAAGCCAAGGAATCACGAGAAGCCCATCAAGCTCCAGATCTAAATGGATCTTAGCAAAGTCCATTCACTCAGCGAAGATCAGGACTGATCTGAAGGAACCCTACAACCAAAATGGAGGAAGGAGGGAATACCTTGATCATATCGATGGGCTGAATGACGCAGGTGGCGAGCATACCAGAGGCACCGCCATTGGCGAACGGCTTGATGGTGTGCCAGACACCAAGGGGTTGAGCCTGCTTCTGCTGCTCTCCCATCTCTTCTTTGGAACCGACGAAAGGGAATGAGAGAGAGAGAGAAAGAAGAGAAGGGCTGGCGGGGATGAAGTGAGGGAGCTCGGCTTGGTTTCACGAGAGGAGCAAGAAGAAATGTTTAAGGCAGGCAAAAATCGATATTAAAAGAGAAACTCAAAATACAATAGAGCGAGAGGACCAACGCTCCTCCCAACTCAGATGCTCCAATAGCTTCAGCCACCGGTGAATGAATGAATGTGCAAGATCGAGGGGAAAATAAATAAAGGTTTCCTTTCTAGTTTTTGTCTTGTTTCAGCAGCAAAGGTCTTTCTCATTCCATAAAAGATTAGACGGACATTAATTTGAAAATAATTTATAACGAGAAAATTAAAATTATCTACACTGAATATTTATACTTTTCACTATCAAAAAAAGAATATTTAGACTTTTCCAGAAAATAATTAGTTCAAAATTATTCAGATCCATCCAATAATTTCATTTGAATTTTGTATATGCAAATAAGTTTTGTGTGAGTCATATAGATTAATTTGATCCAATTATCACAAATTTATAAAATTGCTTCATTAAATTACTCCATTCAAATGACCGGCTCGTAAGAATATTTCACTTGATCCCCCAAATTCTGTATTTGAACTCATTATATCTCCCAATTTTAATAGGGTAAACAAATATCCTTTTGTATTTCAAATAAATAAGCATAATTTTATTTTGCAATAACAACTACTACCCAAGAAGCTCACCACCAAGGACATTGAAAAGTAAAAAACCAAATACTACATGCAAAACTACACATCGTAATTGCTAAGTTATACCGTTGATAGTTTTTGGTAAATATAATATATTAGCCACAACTATTATGAAGCGGGGAATTATAGCCACAATTATGAAAATTCAAATTATTAGTCATAACTATTGTTGCGGGTCAAGATATAGCTAATTGTCTGTTACTGTTATTGAATTTTTGACGGAGAAGGCCACATCCTCGGCCATTGCAGCGGCCACGTCGGAATGCTTTTAATTTATAACTTTAATACATAAAAATTTAGTCAGTATTACTAACGAAATTGTTAACAGATAGTTAACGTTTGACTAATAATTTGAATTTTCATAGTTGTGGCTATAATTCCCCTCTTCATAATAGTTGTGACCAATATATTGTATTAAGTTATTTACTCTAGGTTTTAATATGTAGGTCTTATGTTAGAATCATATAGTGAATTTTTACTTTCTCGCAAAAGATAAAAATAAATTAAAAAAATATTTAACTGCATGTCAAAATCGAGGCTAGATGATAAACACCCTCACATACAACATGGTGGTACATCCACCTCGACCATACGTTACGTCCATACAAAAAGGATGGCCAATCGTGATGCACTCTCTCTCTATAATCGATGAGCTTAGACATCATCATTTGTGTTTGGGCAGCGTTTGCATCTAGCATAGCAATAATACCACATTGCGCGTTTATTTTCTAATTCTCATACGAATGACTAAGAACTGAGAAGTTAATAAAAATATTAATAGGACACCTTTGTCGAAAATTTTGTAGCCATTAACAATAATGTTTTAAACATATTGTCATTTTGCCATTATTGAATTGTTTGTTTCAATAAATAAATTGACACAATACTATAATTTTAAACTATAAATCTATAATGAATATGAGGAAAGGTGTCAAAAAATTTTGTAAAATAAAAAAAAGTAAGCCCGTCGTTTTGTGGCTTACAATCCACGCCATCAACCAACTTCTGTTATATGGTCATGGTTGGTTGCGTAGGATAGGATTGAAGAGATAAAAGTATATCTTCCTAATGGTCTTGAGGAACGAGGGCCATCTACTTAAAGGCCCAATAGACATATCAAGCAGGCCCTACATTCCGTAAGAAACTTTTTGTGGTCAACGGGCGGTCCAATAGGCCCCAAGACAAAGCCCAAACAGGGGAGAACCTTGGACCGGCCGCTCTACATTTCGAAACAGAATACGAGCGGGAACCAGGGAAGAAAGAACAGCAAAAGGAAAGACGTGTCTGTCTTACCTTCCGTTCCGTTCCTTTCTGTCTTGGCTGATGGCTCTCCTCAAAAATTTCAAAATTATTCTTCTCCCTCTCTCTCTCTCTCTCTAAACAGTAACACCACCGAGCAATCGACATTCCGAGCTCCAATTTCCCTATTCTGGTTCTAGATCGAGAATTCCCGGGCTCCCCATTCTACAGTTCTTCTTCATCTGCAAGTCGATCTGTAGCTTCACGCGCATGCAGTCAGTCTCCGTCCGCGCCCGACCCTCTTCATTTCACTCTTCTTCTACAGTCTCCACTCTCTAGTCCCTCACCAGCCGCTTTCTTCATCCTTCCGAGTGAGTGACTTCCCGATTGCTGGGTTCTTTTCATCTGGAAGTTTCGGATTCGGTTTTTGCTTGTTTCAGTTTGTTGCTCTACGTTAGTCTGGAATGAATCTGCTGCGAGCTCCTGTTCCACTTCGTAGTGCATATTTATAGCTTGCCTGTGTTAGTCACTTGCCTAATTGGGTATTAATTGCATATTAATTAATCACCCAAAACAACAAGATGAGGGCTTCTGGTGGTTTTTATATGTCTGGTTCATTAATTAGTTCTCCATAAGTTTACCTTCGTGTTGTAAATTTGCAGATACAGACTACCTCACCAATTTATCGCACATTTTTTCTTCACTGAAACATGGGGCTGGGGGACTACCATGTAATAGAGCTAGTTGGGGAAGGATCTTTTGGCAAAGTCTATAAAGGCCGACGCAAATGCACTGGCCAGGTAAATGTCTCGTCCAAATTTTGATTCATTTCACATGCTTTTTTAAGAACATCTTCCTTGGATTCCTTTGATCTTATTGCTGTTGGTGCATCCATGGCAGACTGTTGCCATGAAGTTTATAATGAAACAAGGGAAAACCGAGAAGGATGTACATAATTTGAGGCAAGAAATTGAGGTAATCAAGCACTTTCTCATCCTTCCTTCGCTCTTTTTTCTGTTGTTTCCTTGTTAACGCGTCATCGCTTTCCTCTTTGTCTTCTTTGTTCATCATCTGGTTGCCATTGCCATTAGACGTGCTTAGGTTGATTGATTTAGATCTTGGTGCAAGGAGACTAGTGGCTTTCTAATGCTGCTCATGCATGGCATTCCCTGCAAGGGTATGGTCATAAAAACATCCCAAGGCAAATCTCAATTTTGACGGTGAAACTTGTGGAAGATGTTCTGTGTACAGAAGCAAAATTCTCCATCATCTAACCTTTTTTTATGACAAGCTGTATGTAGTCTTTATAGACGAGTGCAATGATGATTCCGATGGAATAAATAGTTATGGTGTTGAGTGGTTTGTTATCAAGCGTTCCATCTGCATTGAGTATTAATGTCATGAACTTTCTTTGTTTTACAGATTTTGAGAAAGCTAAAGCATGAAAATGTTATTGAAATGCTCGACTCGTTTGAGAGTCCCCAAGAGTTTTGTGTTGTCACAGAATTTGCACAGGTATAACGTGGTCTTAAGCTCTATAGTAAGCTACAGAGTTCACTAAATAATCATTGAATATTTATTGATCCATCAGTAGCTGATTGCTTTTTCTAAATTCCAGGGTGAACTATTTGAGATACTAGAGGATGACAAATGCCTCCCTGAAGATCAAGTCCAGGCTATTGCAAAGCAACTGGTAGTTATCCACCTATGACCTCACATCTAATCAGGCTTTCATATGATCATAAAAAACCTGTTAGCCTCTTTTGGTCTGAACTTATTTCGTTAAACTTTGTAGGTGAGAGCGTTGCATTATTTGCACTCGAATCGAATCATCCACAGGGATATGAAGCCGCAGAACATACTCATCTGTTCTGGATCAATTGTTAAGGTTATACTGTGAATCCAAGTTTGCTCAGGACATAGTATTTGTAAATTTTAACAGCCCAACGTCAAGTTTGCTGCTGTACATATGCATCAAAACAAGATGCCTAGTTAGCTTAAGTGCTATTAGCTTTTAAATTCATTAGCATTTTGTGTTTGGTTTTCCTGTATTCACTATCCGTTTGAGTTTAGCAACAGTTTCTCATCATCACTATATTAAAGGATGTTTAAATAATTGCAACTCATGTATTCATTATTCATCTCGTCTCATGGCAGCTTTGTGATTTTGGGTTTGCCCGTGCAATGTCCCAGAACACCGTCGTTCTGAGGTCCATTAAAGGTGCTTATGCAGTATAGCTTTTTCATATTTTGTCCTCGGAAAATCTTCATCGCAGCCTTGGTAGTGTGGCTCTGATATTGATGCTGCTCTTCAGGAACACCCTTATATATGGCTCCAGAGCTGGTCCGGGAGCAACCTTACAACCACACTGCTGATTTGTGGTCTCTTGGAGTTATATTGTATGTGGTAGTGACCTGTTCAGTGTTTGTGCTTGTGTCATGTCATTCCCTTATTTATGTGGTTTACCTGATGATCATTTTGTATTCTCCTCAACAGGTATGAATTGTTTGTTGGCCAACCCCCGTTTTACACAAGTTCTGTATATGCTCTCATCAGGCACATTGTTAAGGTGTGTAAGCATATGCATTGAATGGTTTTCTGCTTTTAAGGTGTGCTCGTAGAAGCTAATGCCATCTTCGCTGTTGTAGGATCCAGTAAAATATCCGGATAACATGAGCTCAAATTTTAAAAGCTTCCTTAAGGGATTGCTCAATAAGGTGGCCTCATATATTCTCTGTTTGGTCTTCTGCTTCTCTTTCATTTTTGAGATTGTGGTTGATCTTCATTTTGCAGTCACCACAAAATCGGTTGAGTTGGCCTCATCTTCTGGAACATCCATTTGTCAAAGAGATTTCAGATGAAATGGAGGGCAGGGTATTGCTATCCTTCTCAGATCCTATCTTGGTTCTTCAACTTTTTCCCTGGGAAAGAAAATTAACATTGCATATTACTTTTTTCTCTTTACTTGCATAAAATGGAATTTACAGTTAATGGTTTATCTGCATTTTCATGTTGAGTCTCTACATGAGCTTTTAGTTGGACAGTTTAGGACATATTTCTCGAACTTGTGAAATTGCAGGAGGTTCCCTTTGCAGTTGTTGCAGCTTGTGAATCTGATGCAGCGTTCGATATTGGCAGAAAAAACAGCCAAAGATCAGCTGATCCAGCTGGGTCTTCTCCTGAGGGTATTGACCTTTGATCAATACTGCAACAATTGAAAGCTAAACTATTTAGTTAGAGTTTCTATTCAAACTGCAGTAATCCAGTGCCATCTCCATCTAAATTGTCTCAATATAGTTGCAGGGAATACTTCACTAGTACCTCCTGAGGATTTTCCTGGA